GGGGAGGGACTAGGAGGGATTCCTATTCCCTTGCGGTTTACAGTTTAGGCACTTCGACGACGCCTCGTGTTGCCGTTAAAATGTGAATGTGCTATGACAAACATCTTCGTCCTCGAAAAATGACCATATAATCCAAGTTGAAAACGGAATCAAAGAAGGTCTATTTGAATATGTGTCAACGTCACCACCACCACCTCCTTCTACTTAGAACCCCCCAAAACACCAGAAACGCACTCCATCATCGTCCCTTTCGTCACTATAGACGCTTTAGATTTCCTAGAAATGAATCAAGGTGGGCACAACTCTCAAATCAAGCAAATATCAGTTTTTGAAGATAGGGGCTTAATAAACTTGGTTACCTGTTGCACTATTGGTTTAACTTAATATTTCATGCTATTTAATACCAAAATGATGAAAATGGAACAAATACGAATTTAAAATTTGCAAACATGTGTGGCAATTGTGATTCAAATTAATGTCTTATCTTTGGTAAATAATAAACAGATCTAATTAATTTACGTTTAAAAATTAATATATTGATCTATAAAGAGAAGGGAAGGGATGTTTTGGCATAGAATCTGTAATACTTATAGAGGGGTTTTTCTAAAATTTAACTCAAATACCACAAATAAGTACGTAAACATCAACATAGGTCCAAATATTCTTGTTTACAAGTTTAATTGTCAGCAGATTAAATGATGGTTCATCAATAATTGATCATATATAATGATTAGATATTGCAATTGATTCCGTTAATTTCAGTTAAATAGCTAATTTCGAACTTCATTTCGATTTATATACAAATAATCACACATAAGTGAGATATTTTGCTGCAGTATGTAGTAGATACATTTTAAAATGTAATTATCTCTTTTGCTTTGCAAAATTTAATGAACCGATACGAATTTAATTTTATATGTTGTTTTCCTTAACTAAATATAGTTAATTAATTAAGTAAAACAAATAGGGTACGCCCGCGGCTATATTGAATTGGTTCCCTCCGATATTTGATGCCAAAGTGTATAAATATCTATCCGAGCCTATAATTTCAATATTGGTAAATAAAATTACATTTCACTCATTAACTTTTTAAAATTGTTTTAGAGTTAACTAAATATTTTTAGATTCATGATTTTTCATTATTTTCGTATTTCTTGCAGCTAAATATTTTAGCCTTCTCTAAATGTACATATAAATTGACTCCTATGTTATAATTTTCTTCATTCCTAATCAAATGGCTGTATTAACTATGAGCATGTTTTTTCTAATTGGTTATATTTTGTTGTTTATGCAAAGAATCTTTTGTGACAATGTTTGTGAATAACAGTTAATTACTGATTTCCTAAATATTCACACTTATCCTTTAATTTTAGTTAATACTCTAGTTTAAATCAATCTATATATAATGGGAAGGAAAAAGATAGAAATAAAACGAATTGATGATGAGCGCAATCGGCAAGTGACTTTTACAAAGCGCAAGCTGGGCCTAATGAAGAAAGCCTACGAGCTAAGTGTTCTCTGTGACTGTGAAATCGCTCTAATCATTTTCAACAGTGCCAAACGTCTTTTTCAATACGCTAGCTCAGATATCAATCGGGTGCTTCTCCGCTATACCGATTACACTGAACCTCATGAATCAAAGAACAACAGAGATATCATAGAGGTGCGTTTTGATTTTAAATTCCTTATCATTGTAATTGAGATGGAGCGTTTTTTCATATCTTATCATGTGTGTTCCCCCCCCCCCCAACTTTTCGCATAAATACCCTAGTGAATCGTTACTAATGCCAATAAGTGCTATAATCGATTACTTTGTCTCTATCCTGAAAATTTCAAATCATTCTTTGCATGTGGAATTAGTCCTTGTTACCATAGATAGTAACCCTTGATGTCTCTGGCTTGATGATTTTTTCGGAACCACGAACGTAATCTATACACCCACGTGCATACAAGTGTTTCGTCTCACTTTTTTTACACACTACCTCGGTTTTAATAATAGTTACTTCCTGTCGCACATGTGCTCTTCAAGACAGTTTTGTGAGCTATTTTTAGCTTCTCATTTGTAGGACCCATCATAAATGACACCCTTCTGCCTGGGGTTGGTGACTATTAATTTAACTTTTCAATTTGGTAGGTTATAACACTCTAGCTAACAGTCCCACAATATCCACGAAGATGTCGTTAGAGAGGTCAAGGAAGAAAAATTTAAAGATCTCAAAACTATTTAACGTTATCCGATTGCTTCGATGATATAAATTCAATTTCACTTGAACAAAGTATTGGAGGTATTGAAACTCATGGAAAGGATATATTCCTTTTTACAACTCATGTGTTTGATTCAGAAGTAGTTCTTTATTGGTATTGATTAAAAATGTCTCCCTTTTTGGAGTTTTCCAGATAGTAACTTATTCTTGGTCTCGTATTTAGAATTTTCATGTCTGAAATGATTATGACCTGAACTTGGAAGGGCCAATTTAAAGTTCGTCTGGTTTTTATTCCTGGTCTGTAGTCATTGCGAGTCCAGATCGTTAATTTTCTGTACAATTTTTTCTTTCAGCATTGTTTAAAGCGGTCTGTATTTTTTTAGCTCGTTCAACTATTTTATATAGGATAATAAGCAGTTGTCAGATTTTATAGCAGACTATTTATTCATTTATTTATATCAAATGGCAGGCGTCTTGATGGTTATCATTAGACCTTTAGTTGACTTCAGGCTTCACAGAGGGGAAGGAATATCAAATTGAAAAAAATTGAGAGGAGGGGGGGGGGAACAGAAGAGTGTTTCAAAGATGCAAGAGACAAACGCAAAGGTAGAAAAAAGGTGAGGTGAGTACTGTGAAATAGTCGAATATGGCATAGAGTGAGGTGATGGTAGTTTGAAGTGAGAAGTCAACTGGTTGGCAAATGACACATGTTATGATACATATTTGCATAGATGTATCAAGCCTCTGTGGCTATCTTTGGCTATTACTTTTTTGTCATTTAAAGAGATTTTTGTTGCCATTTCATGGTCCGTAATTTTTTTTTTAATTTTCGTAGTTTTGTCCATACTTTAAGCTCCCTC